CCTCCAAGATCGCACAAGATAGTGCAAGATGACTCAAAATAGCATCCAAAATGCCTCAAAAAGGCCGCAAGACATCCCACATACGGATCCGAAAGCCCACGGAGTTGCCCACTAAAAGCCTGAAACCGTGAAATCATAAGGAGAACGAAGTAGATGTACCGTACCAGGTGTTCGCTTCCAATCGGCTTATGAGGCCTCAAGATGGCTCCAAGATTGCCCAAGAGAGCCCAAAAAGGGACCAAGATGGCTCAAAAGACGGCCCCAAGAGCGCTCCAAGAGCGCCCCAAGAGGGCCTCGAGAGGCAAGACTTCGAACCCCAAATTGGCAACCCCAATCCGCCGACCCGCGCCTGCTTGTGGGGAGGGGGGAATGACGTGTGAGGCATTTGGCTGACCCCCCTCCCCTTTCCCCCCTCGTCCAAAATTCAATCTCGTCAGCGCCGCACCGGCGGGGCAAGCGGAGCCTTCAAGTCCACCCTCCGTGGCCGCCAAGATACCAAAGATGCCTTCTGTGATCGCTCCAGAAAGGCTCCGACACGCCTGAGAGGCCTCAGGAACACTCAAGATGGCCTCAAGACGGCCCAAGACGCCCCCAAGACGCCCCAAGAGGGCCCGCCCACCCCCAAGAGGGCCTCAAGAGACACACTGATGTAATGCACCATTTGTATTCTACTTAGTGTCGCGTTCTTGCCATTTCGGGTTTCTGAAAATCCAAGCCAGCCGAGATTGTCAGATCGAGTGAGTCAGTTGTAAGATCGATGGTAGCTCGTGAGGTCAGCTGTGAGATCGATAGTGTGATCGATAGTGAGATTGATTGCGTGATCGATCGTGATCGTGAGATCGACCGTGAGATCACGAGATCGATAGTGAGATCGATACTGAGTTCGATCACAACAGGCCCCCAGACTGGACCAAGTCTTCCTACGAGAGGACCCAGAGACGGTCCAAGAGGGCTCTAAAGACAACACAGGAGGCTCCCAGCATTAGGTCGGGCATGTCCCTCTAGAGGCGAATTTTGAACCACCCAAAATTCCCAAAATATTGAAAAATAGTCAAAAATAGTCAAACATACAACAAAAAGTCTCCTGAATATTTTTGGACTATTTGTGAATACTCCTCCTGTAGAGGGACATACCCGACTTAACTCTAAAGGCGACCCAGGAGGCCCTCAGGACGAGCAAAAATGCTTTCCACGGGGCCCCAAGAGGGGGACCTCGCAGGGACCCTGCGGGAGCCCCCCCCCCTTCAAAAGGCCCCCAATACACCCCACATGCCCGCAGGAGGCCCCCAAGGTAACATTAAGTCGGGCGTTTCCCTTTACAGGAGGAATATTCGAAAATAGTTTGAAAAAACAGTATGGGGACGATTTTTGACTAGAACCACGCCGCGCTTCGCGCGCGCTTAGGTTCTAGTCGACTCCGAAGACGGTGTCAATTTCCATGGAACCTTTTCCATGTGGTCTTCCGGGGCCCCCCCTTTCACCCATGCGTGATTTTCGAGCGGATACTGCGAAGTTCAAGGAAGGGTTTGGCCTGTAGCATACCACCGACGACCGACGACGACGACGACGGACCACCGACGATCAGCATCACTGTCACCTGATCCACGTGTGCGGGAGAGGCGTTTCCGGAGCGTCTTGCGGGCGTCATGGGGGCGTCCTCGGGCCTCGACATTGGGTGGGCGGGTCGAGGGGTGCAGCCAGGGCCACGTGTTCCGAAGGGCTATTCCAGAGCATGGAGGACGAAGGGCTTCGGGCGGGCTTCTGGGGGTCTGTGTAGAGGCCTCCTGCGAGCTCGGTGGGGGTTTCTCCGGAGCTTTCCGGGTCTTTCTAGAGCCTTTTTGGTGGCTTTTTGGGGTCGTGGAGGCCTCCTGGGAGTCTCTTGGGGCCTCCTGGGGGCCCCTTGGGGCAGAGGTCGCCTCTGTTCGGGCATTTGGGGGGGCTCTCTGGAGCCTCCTGGGAATATCTTAGGCCAGCTTGGGAGCCTCTGGGGGGGTCCGAAGTCCCTTCTGAACTCTCTTGGAGCCCTCAAGGCCCCCCCAGCCCCCCATGCGAATCAGAGGTCGCAGTTCTGGGCCCATCCCTCAACCGTGTCTGGGTTGTGGGTTAGAGGCTTCTCGGATGTTCGCTGGGATGATATCGTGGGATGCCTCTCGGGGGTCTTTTGGAAGCAGGCTTGAAGCCTCCGCGGGGGCGTTGTGGAGCTTGTCGGACCTCTCCTAAGCATCTTTGGGGCCTCTTTGGAGCCTCTTGGAGCAACTTGGGGGCCTCTTGGGGCCTCCTGGGGGTCTCTGGGGGCGGGAAATTCGAAAGGTCGGTTCGCGTTCCCTCTCTTGGGCCCATCTTGGAGCCGTCTTCAAGCCCTCTTCAGGCCCTCTTGGGCCGTCTTGGGGGCCTCTTGGGCCGATCATGCGGCCGTCTTGGGGGCCTCTTGGGGGCCTCTCGGGGCGACGTTGGAGGCTTCTTAGGCAGTCTATGAGTGTTGGCCGCTCGAAAACGTGAGAAGCAACAAATATTGGAAACACACAATGAAATTCAATGATTTGGGCGTCTTGGGGCTCTCTTGGAGGTCCTCGCGGAGCGACCTTGGGGCATCTTGGGGGCCTCTTGGGCCGATCATGGGGCCATCTTGGGCGGCTTGGAGCGCTCTTGGTGGACGCCTCGGGGAAGCGGAACAAAAATCCGGAACTCCGAAAACGGACCCCTGGATGCCAACAAAGGCCCCCGCAGCCCAGGGGGCAAATTCGGCTACGGGGGGGAAATTTTGGAAAAAGTGGCGACCCTGGGCCGCGGGGCCCCGGACGCCGCTTATATTATATGTTAGTTCAACTAGTTTGGAATGTTCTTGGTGTTTGTAATTATTCGCCCCTAATCCGCCTGTAGGGGGACACGCCCGACCTAAAGGTAACAGCCGCGGAGGGAGATGAGGACGAATCGGCAACAACTACACGCAGGCAGCATGACGGGAACAGGCGAGCAACATACGAAACCGGAATCCTCTTCTGGGGGTCAGCCACATGACGTAAACAACTCGAAGAAAGAACCCCGTCTTTCATCGATGGCCCCAAGATGGCCTCAAGAGGGCCTGGAATGCCCTCAAGGAGCTCGAGAGAGCTCAAAGTGCCTCCAAAATAGCCCAACGAGGCCCCCAAGAGGCCCCCAAGAAACCCCGCAACCGA